AGAATACCATCATATAGGATAGAACAAACACCACAGATCAAATGCTGGATCTGATAAATCCTATTGCTTTTTGAAAAATATAAGCTCATCTTGAATTGTGTGTATGGTGTGCATGTTCACAGTCACACACGTCAAACAATCTCAGTATAGCAACTCAGTGATCAATCGCAACTTTCATACAAGTTGGTTTCTCTAGCAAAAATATTTGCAGAGATGGATCGCTCCGTGTGTGTCAGACAAGATTCAAACAGCTAAATCTGAATCACAGTGCAGAGTGAGTGATTGATCTAAATTTGATGAAAATGAAAATACTTTGTGTCATAATAAAATTAATGATAATCACTTATAGATTTACTCTTTACCCCTTTAAAGCCTACTAAGAGTCTACTGGGATCTGAGTGGTTTCTGTCAAAGTTTAGGCCTGCTTATAAAACCAAATAACTGGGTTCACATCAGAAATTACGAGGGTGGTCTCAGCCTATGCAGCTATCCTTGGAAAAACACGGAAACTACTCTAATGGTCATCAAATCGTGTCTTTATGGGGAAAAGAATCAAAAGGAGTGTCTGTGTCAAAAATCGCCATTAAAGGGTACAGGGGAGGTCATCAAATGTCTTTATGGGGAAAAGAGTTCATAATTCTCTTTGCACAAGTTTCTTCCTTTGCATTTACGTAGTTCCAGTATGTCAAGTTAATCTGTAGAAATAGCTTCTTGCTTTCTTTTAAGTCAGGTGACTTTGGTGCACTCGTACTACTATTAAGAAGGAGTCAGCACAGAGACTATAAGCCCATTATCATCAATGGAGCTCCAGTGGAGAAGGTGCAGTCCTTCCAAGTATCTTGGTGTCCACATCTCCTCAGACCTGACATGGGCTGCCCACATTCAGGTCCAGACCAAAAAGGCTAGGCAGCGCCTGTATCACCTACGACAACTGAGGAAGTTCAGGGTCTCTCCAAAGATCCTCAGGATTTTCTATACAGGCGCTGTGAAGAGCATCCTCACACAGAACATGACATCGTGGTTTGGGAACAGCTGTGTGAAGGACCAAAAAGTTCTCCAGAGAGTGATCCGTACAGCAAAACGCTGCTGCAGGATTGCTCTCCCCCCGCTTCAGGACACCTACACCAGGAGATGCCGGACTAGAGCAG